AATCCCGAAAAATGTAAAGAAACAAATTTTATATCTCGGACATTTAGTAACTGCTGACGGAATTTTACCCTACCCCGAAAAAATTACGGTTGTAAAAAATTACCCAGTTCCCAAAAATATAGAAGTAAAGAGATTTGTGGCTTTTCTAAATTATTATCGGAAGTTCATTCCCAACTTTGCCGAGAAAGCACATGCGCTTAATAAACTTAGTAAGAACAATTTAACTTGAGTGTCGCCTCCATTATTACAGTACCCCGATTTATCACCAGAAAATGAATTTAGTTTAAAAACAGACACTTCAGGATACGCCGTAGGAGCAATTCTATCTAACAAGGACGCGTATTATAGTAGGACTTTGAATAAAGCCGAGCTTAATTACCCTATCATCGAAAAAGAATTATTAGCAATTGTATGGGGAGTAAAATACTACAGACCTTATTTATACCACAGACCTTTAATATACTTATTTGATATGAAAGATCCTTCTAGCCGTCTACTTAAATTCAGGTTGACATTGGAGGAGTATGATTTTAATATTGAGTACAGTGACTTACAAAGAAATGGACGACGGGTCTAATAAATAAAAATAAACAAAAACCACGAAAAAAATGTCCCAAGTCAACCTATTTAAACGTAGTGACATGTAAAGGAATATGAAAAAGCTAAAACGTTGAATTTAAATTGTAATGTCATCGCAGTACTGTCTAATTTTGCTTGCTTCGGTGTCAGTCGAACAAACGAAGACTAAAGCGTGAATGACGCTCTGTATACGATTTTAACGCCCTATAAGTTCGGACACTTTTTAGCGCGGACCCGACGTCCATATAATTGTAAGTCAATGATTGAGTATGTAAAAGGTAGCGAAAACACGGCGGCTGACGCTTTATCTAGAATACAGCTAACATCAGAAGAGTTGAAAGGAATGCATGAAAACTTAAACGTAATGACGCGCGCGCAATGGAATAAACAATTTAACTGTAGGGATTCTAAGGTCGATATAGTATCCAAGGACAAACGGCCTGATCAACCGAATGTAGTGGATATTTATAAAAAACCTTCGGAATCAGTAGAGTTGGTATTTATTACAGAAAATAATTTAAAGAAAATAAAAGGTAAAATATTGAAAAGTTCAAATAAAAACTAATGTTAAAAAATTTGTGTCTCGTTGCGTTAAATTTAAAAAACAAAAACATACAAACCATCACATTAAAGAACCGATGGTAATTACCACTACTGCCAATTCAGCCTTTGACAAAATATTTTTGGATCTTGTTGGACCCTTAGACAGAGACAACAATAACAATAGCTACGTCTTAACTATACAATGCGAATTAACAAAGTACGTCGGAGCTTACCCGTTGATTACTAAAAGCTCAAATGAGGTTGCAAAATCTTTCGTAAATAATTTCATATTAGTTTATGGTATACCAAATTGTATAGGTACAGACCGTGGAACGGAGTTCTTATCAGCAGTAATAGCCGAGGTATGTAAATTATTACAAATTTCACAAATGAAGTCGACAGCTTACCATCACCAAAGCATAGGAGCCTTGGAAAACACGCATAAAGGTCTAGGTAATTTTTTGAGAATACAAACAGATCCGGACTATTGGAGTGAGTTGCTGCCGTACTGGAACTTCTCATACAATACGTCAGTACACTCGTCTACGGGATACACTCCGTATGAACTTGTTTTTGGTAAGTTGTGCAGTTTACCTACTAATTTAACGAGCAACATTGTAGAACCGTTATACAGTCACGACAATTATGCATTGGAACTTAAATATCGGCTGCAACTATCTCAAAAAGAAGCAAGAGAAAATTTACTGAAAAGCAAACTGAACCGAAAATTAAATTTCGATAAGAACATGAACTCGGTTACCTACAAGCCAAAACATTTAATTTTGATACAAAATGAAACTGGTAACAAGCTCAGTAGTATCTATTCAGGTCCATATGAAGTAATACGAGACGCTTCATCTAATGTAGATGTACTTAAAAATAACAAGCTGATTACTGTACATAAGAATCGAACAAAACTATACAAACAACGACTGCGTTAAATGAAAAAATAAATAAATAAATAAATACATTTACTTATTTTGTATACATATTAAAATGTCTTTTTAAATGTATGTAATGTAAATGTATCTATGTTTACTAAGTTTAAAAAAAATGTATCAACAAGTTGTAAACGTATTTAGAAACAAACAGTAATATTATGATGTTTTATTAATATAATATAGTATTATTTAGTATTCTTTTGTATGTTAAAAAAAAGGTTGTACTACTTTTTTTATAGTTGCGAGGGAGGTGTGACGTAGTGAGTGTAGTGTACTTATTTAGTAGTAGTGTAATGTACTTAGAAAAAATATATACAATAAATATTCAGTCTTGTAACCGCATTCGTTGGTTTCATTCGTCTCTAATATCCCCGGCTACCACCGTCCCTACACAATCAATATCAAATGTTTTTTTTTGTGTTTTTAATCAGTATTTTTTTGTGATATTGATTTCACACTGCCAATGCGCTCGTTATCCTGAGACATGAATTTGACAAGTTTAATATGCTTGTAGTTTCACCTATGTCTCTCCATCTTTTACTAATAATTGTACTTTACGTTATCGAAACAAAACTAGAAATCCCAAAAAAACAAAAAATATAGTACATATTTTAGTTTATTTCTGATTTGAGTGAGAAGTGAAGCAAGTACCAATGGTGCTAGATACCAACGGGCAAGAGCAGGAGAAAACAGACTATTCAGTCATGAACTCTGCAGTTATGCAATATTGGTGTAGTATATATTATTCACGACATATAAATCGTTACGTCGTTGTTAAGGTTTATTAGTTCATTTACTTAAAAAAGTCAATTCGTAATGCGAATATGCTGCTGTATTTTTAGAATTAATATCTTATTCAGATCGCGTTACCAAAACCTCTAGATTCCTTTCCATGTCATTATCGTTATCTTGTCATGTCATATAATGGGTAATAATACACTCCCGAACACACAATTCGAGCTACTTTGCATTTTTATTCTTAAATAATATTGTTAACATCCAAGAAAAAGATTTCCTCGGTTTTACAAATTCAAATTTTCAGAAAGGAGTTAAAGTTTTTGAATTCATTATCTTGTTTAGTTTTTTTTTGGGAAAATAACGTTTAGTATACTTTTTGGCCAATCAAACATTATAGTATTTAATACTGAAAATGCAAGATGGCACGAATTGTCCCCGGGAGTTTAATATTCTAATAGATAGACTGCAATAATAATTAGGCTGAATGTCGATTCCATTTCAAAACTTTCTTATTCTTCTTGTTTGCAGAATTCCCTATTTTTCTTGTTTTCGTTTTGTTACTTTTCGTTTTTTAAGGATGAAATTACATTTATTTCACAGTTCTGAACAATTACGCGCACAAACATGTTCTTACAATTCTTTACACAAAATATTTTACAATTAAATATTTTTCCCGTGGACAAACTTGTGACCTTTGACCTACTCTCAAATCATAAATCGAAATTGAAATTAGGGCTACGTCACGACCGGAAGAATTATATTTTTGTATGCTAGATTCCAATTTCATGCATGTCCGATTCGGTTTGTAGATGGTGCAATTTTAGTAGATGCGAAAAAGACTTCACTCGCTTTACTCGCTACGCTTCAATTAATCAGACCTAGCTTCTTCGGCCAAGCGTCGAACAATTAACAACTCCCGAGGACACACGTATCGAGTATATTTTTGGGTAGGAAAATTACATTACATGAAAAAAATATTTAAAACAAGCGCAGCTATTTTACCCGATTTAACCTTCACAGGATTCGCGGAATAGCAAATTAATTTACTGCCACTTTTATTAACATGTTAGGTTTTCGCAAAGTAACGCTTGATTATTTAAATTTTATAGTGCACATGATATACTTTGAGAGAAATATATGTAGCTTTGTAAGATATATAAGTATGGACCTTACAAAGCTACGTTTAGGCCCTACAGACGTCTTTAGATAAACATAATAATAATACTGTGAAAACATCTAGGTATAAGAAGATTAAAATTAAAGCAGATTGTATGCTTCCTTTTCAAGGGTAACTTTACGTGTAGTGGTTTTTCAAAACAAATTTGACCAACTTGCACTTTTCTTTTCTTACATCCAGTGACGGGACGAACAAGTCGTGTGCCTGATGGTAAGCTACACGCCTGTCCATAACAGTTGCAGTACCACTCAGGGCTTTAAATCGCATAGATCTGAATGGTACTACCACTGCGCCCGTCACTCTGAGACATAAGTTGACAAGTCATAAGTGCCGTGCATGGGCAGAAACAGGTAAGGTGGCGGTACTTCCCTGGACGAACTCTTCCACGATGAGTTCTACTTCTGCTTAAAAACTTGTCGCAGGTCGACACGTCGGAATAATAGGTAAGTGTGCAAATACCATATAAAATGGGATGCATTAGACACTAAGTCACATACTACTGCTTTATTCTTAGACATGTCCAAGGCATTTGATTGCGTAAATCATAAAATAATTCTACAAGTGCTCAAGCACGTGGGGATACGTGGAATGGCATTGAAATGGTTTGGATCATATTTGAGTGATCGCACGCAGGTTACTGAAATCAGTTACTTTAACACGCGTAATAAAATGTAACAGTGTCCTGTCACTGCGCCTGTTACCCTGAGACATAAGTTGACAAGTCCCATATGCCTGTATTTTCACCAGCACCCTTCTTGTCCTTCAAAACAGGAACGAGCATTATTGCTTTGCGGCAGAAATAGATAAGATGGCAGTATATCCCTGGACGAGCTCTTTCACAACAAGCACTGCTGCTAATAAATATGTATATAACGATTGTGATAACCTAAGAACTCGATAAATTAATATCATTGTACGGACAGCGGCACATCAGACTACACATTTTTGTTAGAAAATCGCCTCCAATGCAACGGAACAAGATACGTCAATGTGTAGCTTGATGTGCTGGCGTGTGTACATACCCGTTTCGAAGCATCTAATGTACTCTTTCATTGCACATTTATTGGGAAACATTGTGTATGTCTTGTCTTCAAAATCGAATCCACACGCCAGTTCCACGTTGCCCTTGGGGCAAGCGTCTAAATTGCAATCTTGTCCACTTGTGAAAGAGAGAGCTGAAAAAGGGAGAAAAATAAAAAATATTGGTCTTAAATTTACGATAGGTTCATATTTGTAAATGACCTGCCAAATGAAACATATCGACAAATTCCAAGACCCCTTTCACTTTTTACGAGCTTAATTGTCAGATCCTTAATTAAAACATTAACAAATAAAGATCATACATCATCAGATTTTATTAAGCACGCCAAAGTTTAGAATATACCTAATAATTTCCTTAATATTTTCAAAATCACATTTTTAAACACCAAGTTTTTTGTTGAAACCAAGTTGAAAAAGAAATGAAACTTTTTTAAAACCAAAAACCGAAAACCAACGTTTCGGACCCTTTGCAGGTCCCATGGTCACGGCTGACTGATGTTGGATTGTTTGAAAAACAAATATACGCGATTTAGTTCGAAAAAAAAAATTTTTTCCACATTATTATAATGCCAAACAATAAATGACCGTTATTATTATAAACAGTAGTTAATACAAAACAAAGTAGAATATCCAAAATTTTTAATACCAAATAGTGTCAAAGCACTTTCTCTACACTGCCAAATCCACTCAATATTGCAATACATAATGACGTTAGTAAATTAAATATTCTTACTGGAAATCATTGCCACCAAAATGGACGCAGCATAATTCATGATCAAAGAAACATTTATTAATAAAATCGAAATAACATAAAAACGAATATTGACTCGGAAAGTTTATTACGAATTTTCAATTTAGATAAAAACATTGATGTTAATCAACCAATGGGATAACAGCATAAATGTAATTGGAATCGTTCAACGTTTCAACATTTCTTTTAGTTTTTTACTTTCAACAAAGAAGCAAGATTAATAAATGTGTGTAAGGAATAGATAACCGTCATTTAAAAATTGTAAGGCCAGTTTCTTAAGACTCACCAACAATCACTATTTATTTAAACTCCAAACAAAACTCAAAAAGTACAACATATCACATTGTAATTCCTTCACTCCAGATTGTTAATAGAAAAACCGTTGTCAAAATGTTCACTGCGAGAATGAAAGAAAAATAGTGATAGCTTTATTAATATTAAAAATATCACTGAAAAGCAGCATGAGTACTTTATAATTCCAGATTAGGTCAAATTCCTTCTATTAAAATTATAACAGTCTATGAGAAACGAAAAGAAAATTAGCATCCACAAAGACTGAAACGAATGAATGAAAAACATCTTCTTCTTCTTTTAAATGTTATGATATGACTCCATCGAAATAATCAATGATTTTGCCAATGTCAAGTAAAAATAACTATGTACAGTAGTTTAATATTATTATAAAAATTATACAAAAAAAAAATGGCGATTTCGCCAATGTCCTGTCTAGTCTGAGAATTATAATTCTCAGAAGTTCCATGTTTTCAATTTGTACTTATTTTTTGACAAGACGTCATTGTTTTTTTAAACTTCTTGTGACGGAAATTCTATAAGGACAAAATTATGAGAATACGAAATACTGATATTTATGTTGGAAATTTATATCAGTTTCAATATTAATGCTGCTCCCCTAGTATAGTATACATTAAATAGAGAAAACATAATTTATTTTTTTTACTTGGGTACTTATATAATGTATAATTGGAAAATTGTGAATTACGTACGAAAGTTCAAATGTCAAAGGCTAAAGCTCACCGTGCTGTTCCCTGTATCGACATTTTTTATTTTGGTTCCGTAAAAAAAATTAAAACTTTTTGCTAAATAAGGATGGCGAAAGTTGACCCAATTAATTATAAAATCAACGTAAAGTTGTACATGGACTTTGCTAGTTTAATTTTACATTTTAATTTATGCCTAGTTATCAATATATTTTGGTGTAGTTTTAGAAGTCGGCAAGAAAGAAATTGTAAAACAATTTTTATAAGAATAAATGCAAGAACACAACGCAATTGATTTAGTTCGACCATAGACTACGTAATGTTCTTGTTCGCACGTTTCATTTTAAGCATAATTGAATATTTTCCTAATTAAAATATTGGTTATTTTATAGTACATACATAACACATTATAGCTAATCAAATAATTAAACAGTATTGGCACAAAGTAATAAATAGAACACAATATGACAGAAATGTTCAGGTAATATTTAAATGAGCGTTATGTAAGTTAGCAAAGAAACGTTTTGACTTTTAGAGGATGGAAAAAATGACTAGAGACCTCTTGCCAATGTCAATGTCATATTGAGTTTGAGAACAATGTGACCATTTATGGCAGATTTCTGTCATTTGGCCTGATTCAATTTTTATTTTGCGACAAAACATGTTAACGTTTTATTAAATGTGGCAGAATTTGGCAGATTTGAGAATATTCAACAAGTTCTTTATTATTTTACAGAACAAACCGAAACCTTGTTGTTTTCTGCTACTACGAACAAACATCTGAAGCCAAATACAGGACAATGTTACAAACATAACTTACATCAACTTTACAACCCCAGCTTCTATAGGCTGTATTCAATTAGCTTTTTGGATGCTATGATAATGAATTAGAAATATGGATAGGTATCTAATGCACGTCGTCAAAACCACACGGGTCACAAAATACACGGGATGTCGCCGTCCTTCCTTACATTGACTTCAATTTATCAAGTAGTTTACTAGACAATTAGCACTGCCAAGATTTGAGTTTAACTATTGCTCAATGTAAACAAATAACAGGACAAAAAATATATATACGATATACGAAACGAAAGAAAAAGAAAAAATGTACATTAAAAACATAGTCAAAAAATTCAAACGTATGATAGAAATAAATTGCAATAAAACAAAATTAAAAACAAAACAAAATTAAATTAAAACGCATTATTTACATAAATAAAGGACACTAGGTATAAAAGTACTTTATGTGGTGCTGTATGCGATAACAAAAAAGTCACTAACTCTGTCTATCTTTACTATAATCACTATCAACACATTATACGTTCCACTGCTGTGTCGGGTTTTCTCTAAGGATAGCATTTAGACCAATTTCAGAGTGACTCAATACGGCTTAGGGATTTCACACGTGTTCAAACGTTGTGGACCGTTATCGAGTGCTACTAAACATTGAAACATGTAGTTATCTTAAAAATTAAAATGGTAAACTTTAATCTAGCCAAATTCAATACATAACATTTAATAACTAATGACGGCAGGTGTAAAGAACATTTTTTTTATCAATGCTCATTATTTAGGCTAGCTCTGCCGACGGTCTGCTCGCGTAATTAGAATTTAAATAGGTAAGTAAACAATAGGGTTATGTAGCGTTATTAGTTACCTAGCCAATTGTTACCAAAGTTATAAAATTTATGTTTACAAAGTACTTGTTGATACGAATGATTTATGAATAAAGTAATAAAGTTTTTGAATCCTATTAATGTTTACATAAGTAAGTAATGGCATATGAAAAGAAACAAAATCGTAGAATTTTATTTTATATGAAATTACTACATATCGCATGCAGCATCAATCCCGATTCTGAACTTAAATTGTTACTTGAGTTTGAATGTTTACAATCTTTCCTTTCAAATAAAAACAATCATTAGGGATGACGCAGTTTTATAAACAATTAAATAGTGGTAGATATTTTTTTCTACTGATTGAAAAAAAAATTAGTAAAAAAAAATGAAAACTTATTTTAGATATTTTTGATGATAATAATAACAATAATAATAGTAATAACGCACACACTCAATATAGCCCCGTACTAGGGAAACCCTGTGTCGCGGGTACCATGGACACACACATAAAAAAAAATAAAAATAAAATAAAATATCTTTATTTTCAGACTACAGGGTCCATAGATTGTTAGTAAACAGAAAAACCTTAATAACTATGTTACTACTACAATAATAATAATAATAAGAATACTTGCTAAAGGGTACACTGCTGTCGGCAGTCACCGAGCTGCACGAGTAGCGGTAGAGGATGTATTAATAATTATAACAAACTATAGTCCGTTTTTATTGAAGATGGAAAAATTTGACATTTGCAGGGTTGCCAGTTTTCGTAAAATTTTAAATAGTCATGTAGCTATTGTCGATAGATTTATCGATAGGCTGGAAAGATGATAATAGTTTCCAAAAAATGTATGAATTGTGAGACTTATAACATTCTAATGATTAGTAATTGCGTTATCGCCGTCTTTACTCTTATTTTGACGTTTGGCCCGCGAGTATCAAAATCAATTCGTAAAGTATCTACAGACGCACGTTCAAATTATTGCCCTATTGTAGACTATGTAGAATACCACCTGAACTCGTTTTTATTCATATACATTTTTAATAATGATAGTTGGATTTGATTATCTATACTGAATTAAAATGAAAAACCACAAAATTTCCCTTTTTGATTTTTAATAGATGTGATGAACTTACAAAAGTTGACAATTCAAATGTACTTAACAACGTACGTAACAATAACGTGAACTAACAAAAGAAACGTAATAAGCGCGAGCGCAAGTTAGCACATCCGAACAAGCCAAAGAGTGGTAGTCGAATGCGGCAAATTCAGCCGGCCCGCTGTGCCCGTGCGGCATTTTATTTATTTGTTTAAATTTTAGTAGCTACTTTTGTCTATAATAAGTAATATAATAACGACTCGCATATACCAATTACCAGCATAAGTAAAGATGACGTATATTTTTATTATACAGTTTTTTACGTTTTTCAATGTTAATTTATAATAAAAAAAATAAAAGCAATAGTAGCCCAGCAGTGGCACGAATAATGGGCCGATGATGATTCAAATTTAACAAGTTCGGACAATCATTGCGTAAGCATAACCAATATTCAGTCGATAATTCATTCATTCATTCATTCATATTTATCGACTGCAATCACTAGCTACTTGAGAACGGGCAACACTTTTGCGCAACGAATTGTCAAATTTTTCCATCTTCACTAAAAACGGACTATAGTGGAGTAATTTCACAAAAAAATAATTGAATATCAATTCAATAAAAATTTAATTAAGATGAGAACTGTCAACAGCAAAGCTCTAAGTGGCACTGCGACTGTTACGGACAGGCGTATCGCTTACCGCCAGGCGCAGTCACTTTGTATTATAAAAAGGAAAAGGAAAGTATTAACTTAAAGGTTACTTAAGGATTAATTAAAAAAAATATAATTTTTTTCTGCAAAATACAGTTTACAATAAATAAATGAGTCTCATTTAAAAACTTCATTGTGTCTTGAATACTTCAATGAGACGAATTTCAGTCGCAGATCTCCTTGATTGATAGCTTCGGTCTTTTATCATTTTGTTGCCTGAATGTACGAATCGTCAATCAAGTTACAAAGGAAAACAGGTTATCTTATCTCTCTTTTGCATATTAACAAACAGATTCTTATTTATGTTTGGATGTTTCTTCCGAGTTCTAAATGGTATTTTTATTAATATAATTATTTAAGGGATTTTTATTAACTTAATATTCAGTGATATGACCAAAATTGAACATAGCATAGAAATAAAAAAGACAATCTCGAAAAGAAAATATTTATATATCGTCGGTGTTTTGTAGAAGGC